CCGAGGCGGAGGGGGAGGAGGGGCCGGAGGACGACGCCTCTAGCTGCACTGCCAGCCGGGCGCGTGCCCCGCGGATGCCCCGCAGGCGGCGGGCGTGCATTTTATTGTGGTCAAGGATGAGGTGGGCCTGACGTATGAAGTGGTAGAAAAACAGGTTCAGGGGGTTGCCGGTGGGCTCAGGGGCATTGTCAGTGCGTTTGGCCTCAAATCAGGGGGGTCCTGGATGGCAGGAGCTTCGCCAAGGGGTGGCGGCGCACAGAGGGCGGCGGGTCAAACTGGTCAAAGGCGCCGAGGCGCCTCCTCCCAAAACCCAGGTTGCCTGGCCTTGGATCCCCCTGGGTTGGTAGATATGCATTGCCGGTGCGGCGTCCCACCTGAGTTTTGGTGAGCCCGGCGCCGCGCACGCAGCGCTCCCAGTGGGACAGCCGCGCGTCGTCCATGCCAACCGCCGCGCGCCCCGCCAGCAGGTGGCAGCCCATGACGCGCGCGTAGGCCTCGACGTTCCAGATCGCGAGCAGCCCGAGGAACGACCCCACCCTGGCCCCGACGGCCCCGAGATTAGGCGTGCAGGGGGCGCGGGACGCCTGATCCAGGCTCGCGTTTTTGTCGAGGTCGCGCCAGGCCGGCTCGAGGAGCTCGATAAGTCGGAGCCTTGCCTGGGTGGCGTCCAGGGCCTGGATGGCACGGACCTGCTCCAGTGTCGCGCTGGGCGAGCGGGAAAGCGCATGACGGGTGGGGGAGTGAGGGAATGCAACCGGCAGGACGACGCCCAAAGAGCAGTGGGCTGGGCGGTCTGCCAAGAGCGCCAGTGTGGCTCTCGCGCACTTCGAGCGACCGCATCACGCGATACGCTAGAGCCCCGCGCCCCGGGCCGCGTCCGCCCCAGGCCTGTGGAGGGAGGCGATCCGCAGCTGCAGGCCGTCGCCCCCAACCGCCAAGCCCTGCCCCTGCCTCCCCGCGCACACCTTTCCAAGTGCAGGAGGCTCCGCCCGGGCGCGAGGTGAGGAAGCCCCTCCAGTAGCGGCGCCAGCGCGCCGCTGGCGGCGCCCGCGCCGATCGCCGCCGCGCCGTCGCGGGGGGAGGGGGCCGCGCGGCTGGTCTGGGCCGCGGGGGATGCGCAGCTGTGCCCCGCACCGCCGCAGCCGCCGCCGGTCCAGCTGGTGGCGCCGCCGGGGCTGACGCCGCCGATCCCGGCGGCGCCGCTGAAGCTGCTGCCCGGGCTCGCGCGGCCGGCAGCCCCCAGGCTGCCGTTGGCAGCCGCCGCGCCGCCGTCAGCGGCGTTGCTCGTCATACTGGCAGACCAGGAGGCGGCGGCCGCCACGAATGTCCCCGAACGCTCGCCGCCGCCGGCGTCGGCGCCGCCGGCGCTGCTGCCAATGGGCACCGCGGCGCCCCACGCGCCCTGCTGGCCGGCGGCCACTGGGCTGCCGGCCGGCGTAGGCGATCGCTCCGCGACCGCTTCCTCGGACTTTATGCGCAGCATGTGCGACGCGACCTCCTCCATCGTCCTAGACACAACGCTTAGGGTCAGCAGCCGCAGCTGCAGCACGCCGCTCTCCGCGACGAGCGAGGCGGCCTGCGCTCGCGTTTGTGCGCGTGCGTGCGTGTGAGTGTGTCTGTGAGTGCGTGTGTGCGCGTGCGCGTGCGTGCGTGCCGGTGTGCGCACGTGTGCTTGGGGGATTTATGTGGGGGATTCCAGCAGCTGCTGCGGGGTGGGCGAGGTGTTGTTATCCGTGGCGGCCAGCCAGCAAGGCAGATGCACCAGGCGGGCCTTTGCGCGATGGCCGCTCGCTCGTGTCACTCGAGCTGGGGTGCTGCGCGCACGTGTGCGCATGCAGGGCGTTCCCTCCCATGCGCGAGGACGCGCGCGTGCGCTGCACGCGTGCGCCCACCTGGGACTGCTTCCGCTCCAGGCGCTCTTTTAGGCGGTTAATGGAGCGCTGCATCGTGGGCGCCGCTGCACCGCCGTCGTGTCGCGCCGCGCCCCGCGGACCAGCCGCCCCGTTCCCGCGAAGCGCGAGCCTCAGGGTAAAGATGACTACTCAGCAGCCGCGCTTCCACGGGGAGGCTGGCGCGGCGTCGGCCGCGCTGTTGGGCGGCTCAAAGCTCAGTCAGGCGCTGTAGACATTCGCCGGCCGCGTGGCACTTTGCGCCGTAGGTGTGACGGCCAGCTCTTGTGCAAACGCTGGCCAGGCCAGCGCTGCCCGGCTCTGGTGGCGCGGGGCCGGCACGGGCAGAGAGCGTGCTTCACCACCGCTTCTATGACACTTTAAACCTATATCATCCAGTTCTAGCCCTGCGACGCTCCCCCAGACACCGCGCGCTGGCCGGAACTCTGTCGTAGAGAAAACACTTATTGCAACGCAATTCGTGGTAAAGTCCACCGCGCTAAGAAACCAAATAAAAGCTCCACGTGCGCGCGTGCCCGCTTTCAACCTCCACCTGTCCGTCGAAGCTGCACCAGATTTCGGACGACTTCTGCCGATGGCGCGGATGTCCAGGTGACCCATGCGCGACTGCCGGATCGGTCGCATCAGAATGATACATTGACACGAATTAATTAGTTTTGACTGCCCATGGCAGGTACACCTTGGGACTGTCCAGCTCACACCGGGTAATGGCCGTGTGTCCGGCCACAAGAAATGGGCGCGCATTATCTTGCGCAGCCCCGGCAGCTTTCAGCGCTTTGGCGCTGCTCTGGGCATTCCCTGTCGGCAGTGATATTATCGCAAGCAAATTATGGGCGCCACTCAGACCATCACTCTCGCTTTTGATGACGCTGCGCCGCACGAGCCCTCACCCCCGCCAGCACCTGATAACAGCCCCTGCAATGCCACTTGCCACTCGCAGCTACCCCGTTTTGTTGCGAGTTTTGGGCGCCATAAGTGTGCGTCACGGCTCTCTCGTCCTGGAAGCATGTTCGCTGCCCTCGACAACGGGTGGTGGCTTGCAGAAGCACCCAGGCATTCCCGCATCTAACCAATGCGCATCCACTCGAGAGGGCGGGGCGGCACGGCGCCGTGAAAATCGCATGCACGCGGCGGGTCGCGCGGCGGCGTTCCAAGGCTTATTGAAAGCCTCTGCTCATTTACACGCACAATCTAGCAACAATGTGCGACCTCGGAATTGCTGGCTGTCGCAGCCGTCGCCCGCGGGTTGCCAGCACTGCTGCTCGGTGTGGCGACACCCCAGGCACAATCGTGCCACGCACAACCTTAAACGAGTGAGACTTGCTGATGTCGGCCATTCGTGAACAACCCTTGCCATGCTTCAAGCATGCCGTCGTGAGTCACGACGGATTACGAAGTCCCTCTGGGCTTCGCAAATCAAGGTCCCCTCAGTCGTAACACTGAGATCCAAGACGAGCACCGTGATGAAGAGTGCCTAAACGACAAACATTCATGCCAGCCACCCGCTGCGGTGGTGGTGCATCGATGTGCCATCGCCAAGATCTTCCCGCTGCCCGCCAAAAATTCTCCGTTGCAGCCGCCGCGGGCGCGAGCTGTACTGGGTTCTGCAGCACTGCAACAGCACAAGCTGTGATGGCCCAGTGCGCGGGCCACCATGCAATGGACACAATCATGCTCGACACCAGTAGGAATTTCTGGGCTGCTGCCCAGGATCAGGCTCAAGACGACGCCTGCCGACAGCCCCGCCTGGCCCACAGACCTTGCCTGATAAATTGGCACTCAACACCCAGACGCGCGGGCAAACAAGACCAGCGACACGCCCACGCGTCTGCATGCCTGGCCCTGCTAACACGCCCACTCCGCGCGGCGCCCCCGGAGGGAAACACAAGGGGGAGCCTGCGGCTCGCGGGCCTCCCGTCCCAAAGCGCCGGCCCTCCGAGCCCTCACTCACAACCTCGGCATTGACAGCAGCGCCGCCGCCAGCGCCGCCGGCCCGACATGCTCCGGCAGCGCCACCGGCGCGGCGCGGGCCACCTCGGGCTGCCAGTCCGCGGGGCGGAAGAGCGCGCCCATGCGGGGCCTGAGGGCGGCCCTGGAGGACACCCAGCGGGGATCGAGCTGCTTGGGAGTGAGCCTGCGGGGTTTGCGCGGGCAGGGGGGGAGGTGCGAGGAAAGTTGCTGTGAGGAAAGCGGGAGGCAACCTAGTTGCCAGTCAACGCGCTGCTGCTCAAAGCTGTGCGGGTAAAAGCTGTGCGGGTCAAAGCGTTGCCGGTCAAAGCTGCTCAGGTCAAAGAGATGTGATAATTTGACTAATATGCTTTACTGTACAATCCCATGAGCCTGGATGGCTCCAGGAGCGGGCGACCGCGGGACGCTGTAACAATCCTCGAACTAATATCAGGGCCCATAGGGACCACCCAGAGGTGGCCGCTGGCAGGGGTGACAGACGGCCGGATGCTGCAGAAATTTGCCACCGAGGTGAGGGGTGTGTGCGGCGCCCTTGACCCCAGCATATGGCCTCAATGGACACATGCTGGGGCGGCGCGCCGAGGGCCACTGCCGCACCCCCAGACGGCCCTCACTTTGGGGCCCGCATCGGCGTGGTGATGTCATCGAGGGCCGACAAGTCGTCATAGACCGCCTGGGATGACAGGTTGTGTTTGAGATTGCGAGCTGCGTCAGGGGCCCCCCGCTTTTGGCAGGGGCGGGGCAAGGGAAGGCCGCTCCAATCACCAGGTGCAACGACCAAGCAATCCAAACTCGAGTGGGCCCATGACCGCAGCAAGATGCTCATGCTTGCATTCTTCCTATTTCCCTAGCCCTACGGGCCCCGGCGGTCTTCCCGTCTTCTAGGGACGTCAGAAATGATGACAGCACACAAGGAGTGCCACCCGCTGCCCAGCCCTCTAATAGTCTGGAGCATTGGGCCCCGGTGCCGCGCCACCCCCCCCAGAAAACACACGGTCTCTCGCGCCGCACACACACACACCTGGTCCCGGGGCACGTCCAAATCAGCCATCCGCGCCGCCAGCCGCCGCGCCGCCTCGCCGCCCGCCCCCGCGCCTGCCGCCGCAGCGGCCAGCGCCGCCGCCGCCGTCCTCGCGCCGCCG